GTCATCCCCTTTCCCAGCCCTCCTCCTGTTTGCCTCCGTTTGTTGGTTCCCTTCCCATTCGAGGCAGATCTAACTCCTTACTTCCTATTATCTATCTTTTATTTTGGCCTTTATATATATTTTGGGTTTCTCATATAAGAGAAACCATGCAATATTTAAGTTTATGTGCCTGATTTATTTCACTTAACATTATACTGTCCTCAGTTTGAAGATAATATGAAGAATGCCATTATACAGTGAAAACACAAGACTAATACAAGGGGTCATTCTAAAGTTGACATGTAGAACCACATGAGCTCATAAAACTGGATTTATTTTTTATTTGTTAATTAGTCCAAAGGAAAGTTTATTCCTAAGGGGAAGGTGTTTACATTATTTCATATGCACCTATTCACGTGTGTATTGTGCTTTTATACAAAGTCCTTGTATCTACAACTACTGATAGGTAATAAATTTGTTTTGAAGTTTGGAATCTTGCTATTTATCTAGTTGGTTTAGTTTTTGAAGTTGCTTATGAAAATTCTATTTACCCCAAATTGTGCTCATTTCATATATTCCTATTTGCTCCAAACTGGCTGATATGGAAATTTGTATGTGGATGCCTTGCAAATCAATTTAAATGCTATTCTCCTTATATAGTAACCATTGTTTCTTTTCTAGATACATATAGGAAGTAATAATTATGATATACAACCAGGGATTGGATTATTATCTACTTAAGAGAAAGAATTAAGTTTGAGGGAAACAGAGCCTGGTGGTTGAGGCAGGGAGAACTGATGATAAGTCCCTTTCTGTTTCCAGACTTAAAAGAATTTTATCTTCAGTGTCCCCATCCCCAACTCCTAAGTGATGGAATAGTCAGGGCTCAAGACCATGCTGATAAGAAGTAAAACAAAAAGTTGATTTAGAAAATGGTTCTCAATGTCATCTGCCCACTAAGAGTTCCAACTTAAATATCAACTTAAAAATATTTTTCTTGTTAAGATTGCTGTGTTTATAAACAAGTGAATCTTTAGATTAAAAGATTACACCTAATGCTGACTGGCACAAAAGTGCCCATCCCTACAACAGGGATGGGCATTTAGGTATAAACAGCCTGCTTCGGCACACATGCTGTAGGCTCGCTATCACTGCCCTAGAATATATTGGGTTTAGCATACATGAGTTCAGTTGAATACCTAGAGCTCATAACAATGCCTCCCACAAATCCAACTGGAGGCCCAGAGCCCACAACGTCTCATGCAGGCCTGTTTCACCGATCTGCACTGGGAAGGCCTAAAGGACAGTGGTGGAATCTAGGAATCTGTGCCAAGGGAATGAAGGAGCTGTTAATTTATTACCTATCAGTAGTTGTAGATACAAGGACTTTGTATAAAAGCACGATATACACGTGAATAGGTGCCTATGAAGTAAACACCTTCCCCTTAGGAATAAACTTTCCTTGGGACTAATTAACAAATAAAAAATAAATCTAGTTTTATGAGCTCATGTGGTCCTACATGTCAACTTTAGAATGACCCCTTGAATTACTCTTGTGTTTTCACTGCATAATGGCATTCTTCATATTATCTTCATGTATTGAAGTTTTATAACTTTAAGGTTAAAGTAAAAAAGTATCTTCAAAGATTACAGGGAGGAATAATAAGATATCTTCAGCAAAATTGGATGCACACTTCGAAATTGATATTAAACTACTCACTAGGAGTAAAAGATACTATAAGATAATAGACTGAGTCAAAGTTTAAGGATTAAACAAGGTATTTTAAACTTTCCATGCTCTTCAAATCATGCTGTTTATGAAGATTTCTAAGGCCGTATTATAACTAAATAAAGAAAAATATCCAGTAGAGAACTTGTGGTAGTTGATGTTCTTCATAAATAGAGCATAATTACAAAAATATAGTAAGCATTAAACCCTGATGACTGAGACCTTTTTTTGAACCCTTTTTTGAAAACTACACTTTAAGTGGCCTAGGATTATATTTCCTTCTCTGCTTAGTTCTATATTTATTACTCATTGTATGGTAATGTGCCAGTTATTTCCCATCTTTCTCAAAGTGAAAACCAAAGGCCTTATAATAGTCTACAAGGTCTTCTGCAGTCAGACTTCCTGCTGCCTTTCCAATCTCATCTCCTACTCCTTGCCCCTTTGCTCCATTCTGTTGCACAGACAGTAGCTTCACTGTGTTTTCTTGAACCTGCTGTAGCGTATTGACAGCTAGTGGTCAACTTATAACCCCCAGCTGAACGGAGTAAGCATGGTGCTGGGTGTGGGAGGCCCACCTGGGGACTGTTGCCAGCAGTGTAAGAGGCAGAACTGGAGAAGAGGAGAGGCTTTGGGAACTAAAAAGGCTGTTGGGAGTGGAGAAAGGCTGTTGGAGCTGGTGGAAGCTGTAAGGAGCTGTTGGTTGTTTTGGAGGAGCTCGTCACACTGGCTTTCCTGATGAACTTGGCTGTTTTCATTCTTGGAGGAGCTCGGGTCCTCTTTGGCACTGAGAATGGCTTTGGTTCACTTTGGGGGAGCTCTGGTCCTCACTTTGAGCATTGCTTCCTGGCTCCAGAGGGGAAGATGGTACACTGCCGATCTCTAGGAGAAGGTTGCTACATTGGCTTCCCTGATGGAAACTTGGCCCTCTTGATCATCGAAGGAGCTTGGGGCCTCACTGTTGCTGAGGATGGCTCTGGTACCTTTCAGGGGTGCTCTGGTTCTTCTCAGCATTGCTTCCTGGCTCCAGTGCAGATCCCTCAGCCTGCTAGCACAGCTCCTTCATTCCCTTGGCACAGACTTCCTAGATTCCACCACTGTCCTTTAGGCCTTCCCAGTGCAGATCGGTGAAACAGGCCTGCATGAGACGTTGTGGGCTCTGGGCCTCCAGTTGGATTTGTGGGAGGCATTGTTATGAGCTCTAAGTATTCAACTGAACTCAAGTAGAACATTTTCATGGGATCCAGGCCCTCGGCTAGATTCCTTGATCTTGGTGTATGGACAGATTGCCTGCACTCTCTTTGTATATCATTCTTTGGGTGACTATTATAAATAATCATATAAAATATGTGTCCTGTATTATATTGTTTCCCCTTGCAAAATAAGCCCCAAACCAACACACCTGCTGAGTATTCTGTCAATTTGGGATGTGCATGCTAAGCAGTCAGCCTACATCAGTCATATCCCAGAGAGCTTTCTCACTTCATGTAGACATCTACAGAAGGCATGGTTTCTCAGTGGAGCCCCTTCCTGAACACACTGTATATCTTTCCTACTTTGTTTTTTCCTTGGCACTTAATTACTATATATCCCCCAAAAAAGCCATATATATATATAGATATATATATATATATATATACACACACACACACACAGACACACACACATACATGTACTTATTTAGCCCTCAGGGAAGAAATGTTCTTTTGTACTTCATATAAAATTTGATAATGTTAATAATCAGAAGTTGGAGAAGAAAAAATTAAAAAGTATAAAAACATGTTGACTATATCATCTCACACAGTCAGAAGTTAATTATATTAAATAAAAGTCAGATCACCAGAAGAATTGTCAACAAAAACTGTGAAGGATGATTCAGAGGATGATCATCTGTGGAAAGTCAGACTAGGATGAGAGAAGAGGTGAACATTTCAATTTTTTTGTCTCTGACTCTTACGATTTTAATTTAGGAAATAGGTTGAAAAATTTTTTAAAAATTTGTTGAACTCCACTTTTTTAAGTAAAGTTCATTGAGGTCTAATTTATATGTTAAAATTTTACCCTTTTTTAGTCTATGGTTCAATGACTTTGGTAAAGGAAGTCATATAACCATCATCAAAATTTAACAGTGTAATAAACAATTCTGTCACCACACAGAATTCCCTCATTCTCGTAGTTCACCTCCCTCCGAGCCTATAGTAGGCACTTATCTGTTATTCCATCCTTTTAACCTATGTTTCATAGTATATAATTGAGTCTGAATTCTTACCAAATCTGACAAACATTGTCTTTTAATTGGTGAATTTAGACCTCTTTCATTTAATATACTTATTGAGGCATTGAATTAAAAGCTGTTTTCTATTCTGTTATTTTCCTCTTGTTCTGCCTACGTCGGGTTGAGTATTTTTATGATAACATCTTATTTTTATTGGCTCACTGCAGCCCTCTTAAAAATGTTTAATGGTTACCTGCAGATTTTTAATTTCTAAAAATCAAATGATGGAAGAACATCTGTACCAAAATGTTCATAGTATTAGTTTGGGAGATTGGGTTTGAAGAAGTCTCCCCTACTTTTCTGTATGTTATTCCTTTTTTCAGTATCTTATTCCTACCTTTACATGAATGATTTTCTTGTTGTTGTTAAAATGCTACGGGAAGAACATAGAGAGAGATGGCAAGAGAAAAGGTAAACTGGGCATGTGTGGAGGGTGACTCTAGGCAGGCAGGATAAGAATTAAAGAGGCATGTTTGGTAAACCACAAATTCTTGGAGGTTGCTTTATGAGCTGGTGTGGAAAAGGAGTTAATATGCCATATAATCTATTGCATGTACCATATATTGTATATATTGCATATATAATAATACCATAAAATATGTTGCACCTGTTTGCAGGTGATAGGTGTTTTATTTTGAGCCAAATAAATGGTTTTTATTGACTTGGTCCCACCATACATCAATTTCTGGGAAGAGTAAATAGTACTATTAAAGTGGCCTTTAGGCAGCTGTATGATTCTTTATCACATCAATTCTGTCCTCACTTCCCCTGTGAGGTATATGTGTTTGTGTGTGTGTCTGTGTGTGTGTTAGATATCTATTGTCCTCTAATCAAAATTGACTATCATCAAATTTGTACAAATAGGTTTTTCGAAAATGTATAATTTTCATTTTCTCTTAATGGTGGAAGTGCAATAAAAATACTACTCTTTGAATATTTTCACTAGGTTTCATTTTACTTCTTAAAAAAGCTTCTGTATCTGCTTTATAATTGATCTTTGGCCTTTTTACTTTTTTATAGCTATTCAAAGGTGTTGTGCATAGCATTTGAAGTACTTCAGGGTTTGCAGTATATGAATAAACATGGCGTAGTGCACCGGGCACTGTCTCCTCATAATATCCTGTTGGATCGAAAGGTAGTTATCAAATATGTAATATCAGATATTTGTATGTTGCTTGAAACCTAAAGATGTTGAAGTTGGACTTGTTCAGTCAGAAAAACATCAAATAAGAACATTTTTGAGAATATTTGTAGTGAAAAGACTCTCTGAAAGTGATATATTTGTGATGGTGCTAAACAATCTTTAAATTATTTAAATCTTTCACATGAATAATTCTCTTTTATCCCAAAATTTATCTTCTAACTTCATCTTTTATTTTTCCTTTCATTTTTTTCTAAATGATACATGTAGCTTTCCACCCACTCCTCTGAACTTTTAAGGAAGCTCTTCTGAACATCTACATAAGAACTTCGTTCATTTTATAAGTGCGGCTGCACACGTCATTCCTTTTTCATTTATCTGTTCAGCAGCTGTTAGCAATCATCTGCCTTTTGTTGGATTTCTGCTTCTCTAGTTGAAATCTTATAGAGGATTCATAAATTAGTAAACCCTCCTAAGAGAATTATGCATATGAAGATGTACATTGTTGATAATAATCATAATTTTATTTTTTTAGCATATTAAAAACAGCTTTGAGGACTTGTTTTTCTATGGGAATTATCTTCAGTTTAATTTTGCTCTAAAACTTCTAAAGTTTAACAACCCTATGATGTTAAAATCATAAAGAAAATGATTACCATTAATTTCAGATTTATGACAGTAAAATATCATTGCCACAACCAACCTAAATTGTTTTAGAATATAAATGTTTTATACTGGGGATTTTAAAATTATTATTAAAAAGACAAATGAATTTCTAAATCACCTTTTAAAAAAAATAAAACATCTCAAAATGGAAAACCCTAAGATACATAAAATCTATCCTTACTTTTATTTAGGACCTCACACTTGTTATAATTATAATTATAGTTAACGTATTTTCAAACTGTGTAACAGTTATTGGAAATCTGGCATGTTTACCAACATTTTGATGATTTGTGAACTGAACTTTTCAGGTTAAAAATTCCTATGTCACACTTAAATTATAACGTGAATGGACTTTCATCTCCCTGAAAAACAATCCTCTGTAAAAATTGTTATGAAACATTTTAACCAAGGTCTCAACAGAAATGATTGCATTTTGTCTCTTGTCCTTTGTCAAAATACCTAGATAATATAAACATCAAAAATGTTATTTGATTTGACATTTATATA